TGTTGAGATCTGGCGGTGTCTGTGATTCAAGCCGTGCCTACACGGTTCAGACATCAACACTATGCCTCCATATATGCAGGCGGCGAGCACCAATGATTTCGGGTCGGGAAGCGGAGGTGGTCAGGTTATAGGTTGAAGGAGGCGTTTCTCTCCTTTCCTTTTAAACGCTGCGCCAAGAGAGACGCGTTCCGCGTCTTCAGCGTGTCCTTTTTGCGCATGGTCTAATGCGGCTGGATATTGTCTGGAACATCTCGTGAGGCTGGATCACCGTAGCGGTTGACAGAAAGGTTGTGCTTTTATCCGCTCAATTTGGTCGATGAGCTTATTGGCACTCGAACCCTCATCATGGCCCCTCGAAAGAGCAACGTCTCTACCGTCTCCAATGCAGACCAAGAACCACCCGTGTCGCCACCATCAAAATCCCATAGAGACAGTATCGGGATCGAGGTACGATCGGGCGACCTTCTTCAACAACTGAGATTATTCTGACCATTCGGCAGGACCTCACGTTGCCTAAATCGATCATAGGCCGCCTGGCGAAGGGGATTCTCCCAGCAAACACAAACATCGGCAAGGATGCACTGTTAGCCATGCACAAGAGCGCAACTGTGTTCGTGAGCTATATTGCCGCTGCGTACGTCTGCTTTGGAACCGTTCCCTGTCTATCACCAGCCCCAGTCGACCTTGGCACTGGCAACAGCGTTCTTCTGACCCTTCAGACCTGTCTTGACTATACTCGCTGTACTTGTAGCTGACTGACAGACGGTAGTGCCAATGAAAATGCACAGGGAAGTGGGAAGAAGACGATCATGCCTCCAGATGTCTTCCAGGCCCTGAAAGACTCTGATCTCGGTGACTTCCTGCCAAGGCTTGAGGCAGAGCTCAAAAGTATGTCCTGGACTTCTGGCATATCGTCCAGAGGTCACAAATTGGCCTGCGCTGTCGAACGTGTTGCTGACAAATGGCTCTAGAGTATAATGAGACGCAATGCGACAAGCGCAATAATTACCGGCGAAGGGTCAAGGAAGAGAAAGCGGCCGCAGTCGCCACTGATGAAGGCACAGATGAGACGCTCCAAGATGTCTCCACCATGTCCAACGGAATCAATGGGATGGCCAACGGCCATCAAAATGGAGATGAACGGCCTGCAAAGAAAATGAGGGGTCAAAACGGAACGGTTGTGCCAGGCGAAGACGACACCGATATGGATGACTCCTTCGATGTGGATGGTAAGCAGGACGATGAAGATGCAAACTCGGACGACGAGGATGAAGGTGTCGACGAGGACGACGAGGATGATGCTGAAGATGGAGAGGACCAAGATCAGACTCTAGAAGACCGTATAGAGGACGATCGGGGACGTAGCGACGACGATGATGACGACGATGACGACGAGGCTCTAGACGACGACGACGACAGCGACTGATTAGCCTATCAAGGCACTTGTGTCTGTTTGATCTTGCATAGCATGGCGTGCTGTTTCCTTTGGCGCTGCAGCAGATGTCCAGCATTGGGATGTTGGCGGAAAAGATCAGTCCTCTACGATAGCATTTGAATTTATTCCGTTTCCTCTTTACGAAGTGTAGCGGACACTCCAACGACTGACAGCTGTTCGTTTCACCTTGATTTGACAATATCGGTTGGACAGCACTGGTTCTGAAACCAAGGACACGCTAGGACCACTCGAATCCCTGGTGAGAGTGGTGATGATGCGCCTGCTACCATGTATAAAATCACCAGTCTAGGTAAACGCGGACACTGGCTCTAGTTGAGAATGGTACATCCTCTATACTATACACGTTTCAACAAAGCGTATGAAGCAAGGCTATTCTCGCATTTGCTCCCCTATCGCTTGTATATAGTCAGAAGAGAGACGATTGATACTGTAGGCTTGTAAGTAGAAACTCGTGCCTTGCGCATGCCACACAAGCAACTCCCACACTGGTAGTTGTAACCTATCTACATGGGATATTGCGGTCTCACCATAGTGCTGTTTGCTCAGGATACTGTTAGGCACCGTGACGAATACAAATAGCCACCTCGTTTGCCAGAGAACACTCGGGTCTATTGTAGCCTAATGTCGGCATGCGCATTCGACATATGCGAGGAAGCAGGGCAAACCGGGGGTATCACGTGGCAGTGCGCCAATGGTACCTCCTATACCAGGCCGCGCACGCAGCGCAAGTCTGTCCGCAAGAGGTTATTGGACGTTACAGAATGTACCTACAGCAGCCGTGCGTTGCCGCTGTCACCCTATCGACAGCACACCACATCGGCCCTCTACTCTCTAGCAGCGACGAATGCAGACCTCACCATACTCATGCTGCGCAGCTGGAAAAGCACACCGTCGCGACCATTGATAGCGGTTCATCTCGTTAGTCTGCCTTTAGCGCATCTTCAGGCCAACGATATCGCGTCAACGGATGTAGCTAACTCGTAAGCGTTGAGTAGGAGTTTTCTTTTGCAAATGAAACCCACCCTTGCAAGCCACGTCCCCTCTAGACGACAGTCCGGAGCTAACGGGACACCATCCCATCATTGGCCGGCCCTGACTCTAGGTTTGAAGGGATCGTCTGCCGCAAGCACATAGTCTCGCCCCGATGAGACTGGGGGCGCCTACAACCGGAGCGCACTTTGCCCTTCCTCCAGGTGGATACATGGCAGAGGTACTCATCGCCAGGCGCCCAAGGGTGTACGTGGGAAACCGCTTTATCATCACCAGCCTTCCCTCGCCCTCCTTTTCCAGTCTCTTCCTCCTTCTCCGATATCCTCATTGCCAGCAAGCTGCGCTGTTGTCACTCTTTGTACCGCTCACACACACTCATTCATTGACCCATCCACTCATTTACCCACACACTCGTTCACTCATTTCCAACCCAAACACTCATTACCTTGAGCCCCAAAGCGTACTCGAGTGTCCACTGCTTTCGACTTGCAAATCCTGCTTCCGCGCAAACCATCCTCCTATCTACATCCAACGATAACCATCCCAAGCTTCCGCTAGGCCAAGATGTTTTTCGCATTGACAACCGTTGCCGCCCTGGCAGTCCCAGGCATGGCTGTGCCATACGTCCACCCTCACGCGCATTTCCACCACCATGCTCGCGCTGTCGCCCCCCGCGACGCTCAAGTCTTCAATCTGACTGTTGAGAACAACTGCGACGTGGCCAAGACATTCGGTCTCTACCAGATCGCCCAACCTTCTTTTCAAATGATCCAGAAGTCCGACCCCGTTGTCATCGAGCCCAAGGGCACCTCTGTCATCTCGGCCCCTTTCACCGAGCTCGGCATGCGTCTCTCCGCCACCGCCGACCAGGGCACTGCCGCCCAATGGCTCAGCCAGCCGTTGTTCGAGTTTGGCTACAGCGAGTACAACGGCCTGACTGGCACTGCGTACGATCTCTCTGTCATGGAAGGCAGCGACGCCACCGGCTTGGCCGCCTACCCAGACTGTGAAACGTGCGAATCCAAGATCTGCTTCGCCGAAGGCTGCAGCAAAGCCCAGGCTTGGACTCACGAAAACCAGGTCGCCGACGGCAGCCCTGCTGACACCGTGTGTTACGAGGGTCTCAAGAACTTCAAGGTGGTCTGGTGCCCTTCCAAATAGATCCACACCCAAGCATCCAAACCTCTGTGGCGAGACCCCAAACGCCATCTTTGCGAGCTGCTCATCTCCCCCTTGTATCTGCAGATGATTCGCAAAGGACTGGGCACATTGCCGAGCATCGATAGATCAAGTCGGTATTGATGCGAACAATCACATTGATTTGAAAGGTGTCGCTTGTATAGAAATGTATCTTAAGGATGATCGAGAAAGCAGGTTTCTTCGTAGCCTTGTTCGTGTTCCACGTGAATGTCTCATATGTATCGTTTCATTTCACATGCTGTTTTCCGACCTTCCTCTTTTTCTGTGAACAGCGCTTTATGGATTGCATCTCCCTTGCCTCTGAACAGCGAGTAGTTGCTCTGTGACGGCATTGTCTTTTGTCGATGGCATATCTCTGTTCCCTGAACGGAATGCCATGTTCTATATATAGTATTCCGTTGTTCTATGAACGGCATTGCCTTGCCTATAATGTATATAGCATCCTCCCGCTCTATCCTACGAATGACCATCAACTCATCCCGCCCAGTGAAGCCTTGTTTACCTGGCCATCCTGTTTGCTCAGCGCACCATACCAAATCAAATGTCAGCTTCGGAATATGTAACAAGGTGACCACGTGTTTGCTAGACAACATCCCATTGCGTTGTGGCTAGATGACCAAGTTCAGAGGGCATTAAGCCAGATGGATACAGATTTGTAAAAAGATGGCTATGGAGACCTCGGAGACAGACAAAGAGGTGATTGTATCAAAAGCTGCATCCATGATTCTGGACTTTGTTAGCTACTATCGTCGAGATCTTGGTACACTGCGACGATGAAGGGTACAGCAAGTGCGAGAATAGAGGTGGTACGGGCCAGTCGCGCTCTAGTTTCCTCTACACTCTGACACTTCTTTGCTCTCATCCTGTCTCTCTCCTTCCCCTCCTCTACTCTGCAATGTCCGTCGATGTCCCACATTCCTTGTCACGTGTCTTCCCCATGCATCGCTGTTGCGGACCCTCTTCATGGAGACAAGCCGGCTGACCAAGCGCTCCTCTGCCATTTGCCCTTCCATACTGCGACACTATTAAACAGCTCCATACCGTAAGGCGGACCAGCTGATTGGCCTTATGTAGATCCGGATCAAACTATACCGCTTCAGGAGTTGAGTAAATGGTGCCAACAGAACACAACACCTCCTAGAGGTACTTGAACGCTCGCAACAACCGAACAAGACGAGCCCGTTAGCAATATTACTAGGTGAACAGGGTCTGAATGTGAATTCTATGTTCTTGTCCTGCTCCCGGAGGTGGCCAGCATCCGGCCAATCTTGATTACGTAACGCCAACCACACAAAGATCATATTCGTTTTTTTCTGCCAACCACCCCATTAAACATCCTGATTAAATGCCAGTCGCCCGGCTGGCGCAATGGTAGCGCGCTAGACTTCTATTCATGAGATCTAGAGGCTCCGGGTTCGAGTCCCTGGTCGGGTGTATGCCTCCAATGTGTTGCTCCATCAATGGGGATGTGTATTTTTTTGCGGGAGGAATTTTTGCGCGAGAGGGACGAGGGAAAGCGAGGAAAGGAAGCTTGAGTGGGTTATGGACATTTCTATCTGTTTCAAATCATTTTTGAACAGTCAATCGATGGGAAAAAGGAGGTGGATTGAACAGGCAGAAATTTAATGCGGCAGATCAGGACACGGGCTGTTTTGCGGGAATCAGGATTTGTCGTGGGACAATTCTGGAGGGCCTTAAGAACCTTTGGACGTGTATGATTGGATCGCTCTGGAATGCCCAGATGGGATGACTACAGTTTGGAGGGGGATTGTCTACAGATCTGTGGATGTACACGTTGATGACGGTGGTTTTGATAGGAGAAGAGCAGATGAGAGCAACAGCGAGGTCTAGAGTGACGATCACACAGATATGCAGAGACGTGCGGAGTATCGAGAACTGTGGCCAGGAGCCGATTGGGGGCGACCATGACTCGAGATGGCAAGGACAGGCAGGGTGGCAGCCAGATGTGGGTGGGAGGGCGGTGTCGCGGGCTATCATGCACTCCACGCTGGCCGGGGCTGGATAAATGGGACTGTGCTAATATCTGCGATACACAACGAGTCTGACGTCCAATCTCTAATGTGCCATCTAGAATGTTCGCATTGAGAACCTGACAGGGCGGATGTAGTTGTGGTGCACCATTGGGACGTACAGGAGCATACCGGACGACACCGAGATACGACCACAGTCAAAGGAGTGGTGGTGTCGGTGTCCCGACGGCGAGCGGCGTAGTGCGCGCAGCAATGTCCAGATTGGTAGACCAGGGACAGGCGAAGGATCCAGAGGTGAGCAGCCAATCAAGGCAGACGTCCAGCGGCGAAGGCCATGTGGGCTTCTAGCTCCATCAACCTGAATCCGTCCAGAACATGAGCGGTGCAGCTTGGCAGTGCGCCTGCCAAGGTCTTGGATCACGGGCGAAGTTATCTGCAGCCAATTGCGGGTGGGGATTCCAGCGCGACAAGACACGAACTATGTTGTCTGGACGTAGCAAACACCAGATAGCAGCGGCGATGGCAGATATCAGCAATCACGAGCAGAGGGCTCTAGTAGGGTTCGGCCGTCTTTTGGGAGGCAAGTGTCTGGTGAGGGTCGGTGGGCCATGTACATATAGAAGTATGCCCTCGTGTGAGGTACCGACGCACTCCGGAAGCGCATTGCCATTGCTGTTGCTGTTGCTGTTGCTATTGCTATTGCTACTAATCTGAGAATAGGTGACTAGCCAAGGGTCACACCAAGCTTTGGCTCGGATCTTCTTGACTTTTTCTCTGTCCGTGTGGCGCCGCCTCGACCTTTGAAAACCTATAGGGCTATATCGTTGTCCACCGACCGCGCACACCGGCCACGACGTGTAGACGCCCACGTCGGTAGATCTGCCGAACCCATCAACACTAGACACAGGCACGCCGAGGGCAAGCCAGCACGATGGGCTGGGTACACGACGCAAACGCGGCCGTTGCGCGAAGCGCAGTCGGGCACTACTTCCGCCTCGAAGGCAGTGGACATCCCAAGGAGCGCAAGGGCTCCTACTTCTTCACTGAGATCCGCGCTGGTCTCGCGACTTTCTTCGCCATGGCATACATCATCTCCGTCAACGCCAACATCGTGTCCCAGACCGGTGGGACCTGTGTCTGCCCGGCGGACAGCCCGGATCTCTGTGCGAACGACACCGAATACCTGCTGTGTAAGCAGGTCGTGAACCGCGACCTTGTCACTGCCACTGCTGCGATTGCCGCCCTGACGACGTTCTGCATGGGTCTGTTTGCGAACATGCCGATTGCGCTTGCCCCTGGTATGGGACTGAACGCATACTTTGCTTACCAGGTTGTCGGCTACCACGGCTCCGGGCCTGTTCCATACGAGGTGGCCGTCACGGCTGTGTTCGTCGAGGGATTTGTCTTTGTTGGGTTGACTGTTCTGGGCTTGCGACAATGGCTTGCGAGAGCGATCCCTGCCTCTATCAAGCTGGCAACCGGCGTTGGCATTGGTCTCTACCTCACGCTCATTGGTTTGACATACTCTGCAGGTATCGGTGCCGTGACTGGCGCGCAGGCGACCCCGCTCGATCTGGCTGGTTGTGCCCCTCAATTCCTTGACCCTGAGACCGGCCTTTGCCCGTCCAGCGAGAAGATGAGGAGCCCAACGATGTGGATCGGCATCTTCTGTGGCGGGATGCTCACGGTGTTGCTCATGCTCTACCGCGTCAAGGGTGCCATCATCGCTGGGATCTTGCTCGTCAGCATCATCTCGTGGCCACGGCCGACCGAGGTCACTTACTTCCCATACACCGAGCTTGGCGACAGCATGTTTGATTTCTTCAGGAAGGTCGTGACATTCCACCCGATCGAGAAGATCCTGACCGTGCAGAAGTGGGACATCTCCGAGTACGGCGGCCAATTCGGTCTCGCCTTCATCACGTTCCTCTACGTCGACATTCTGGACTGCACGGGTACGCTGTACGCCATGGCCCGCTTCTGCGGTGCGATCGATGAGAAGACCCAGGACTTCGAGGGCTCCGCTGTCGCGTATCTCGTCGACGCTTTCGGCATCTCAATTGGCGCATTGATGGGCACCCCTCCAGTCACCGCCTACATCGAGTCCGGTGCTGGTATCTCAGAAGGTGGCGCCACGGGTATCACCGCGATGGTCACCGGTCTCTGCTTCTTCATCTCCGTCTTCTTCGCTCCGATCTTCGCCTCGTTCCCACCATGGGCGACGGGTTGCGTTCTCATCATTGTTGGGTGCTTGATGGCGAAGGCAGCCAAGGACATCAACTGGTCGTACCTGGGCGATGCCATCCCGGCTTTCCTAACCATCGCGATCATGCCCTTCACGTACTCGATTGCGTACGGTCTGATCACGGGCATCTGCAGCTATGCTTTCATCAACACCTTTGTGTGGGTGGTCGAGAAGATATCCGGTAACCGCATCAAGCCGCAGGACAAGGATCTCAAGGATCCATGGACGTACAAGCTGGAAGGTGGCCTGCTCCCACCATGGGTCACCCGTGCTGCAAAGGGCAAGAAGGATTTCTGGCGCCCATACGATGACGAGGAGCACTACGCGACGTCGACGGAGGGTGTTGAGGCGGATGGCATCGAGAAGAAGAGCGAGAGAATGGGCAAGGAGGCCAACGAGGCATAGAAGCCTTCGGTGGTGTGTTCCAAGCTTTCCTGACGATTTCTTCCACGAGAGATGTTGTAGTGTTAGGATCCAAAATACCCGTACTGATACTTCATCTTCATCACTTTCATCATCATTGTCATTATGCTTGTCATCATCCTCGTCTCCTTCTCCTTTGGATTCCTCACCAGCGAACCTCCTGACGCATATCAGTCCATTCACCATCTATGCCGTTCGAAAGTGTCTTATAGTGCAGCATCACTTGCCGTCTCCGGCTCGCCAGGTAATACCCATCAAAGTTCGAAAAGTGCACTCGGCGCCATTCGGGGATATCCTCGCACAGGGCAGTTCCCTGAGGCTTGTTGGTCAAAGCTTCTTCGAACTCGACAACGACTTGAGCCGCGGCAGTCATCGATCGATAGTGCCATACCCCTGCACCCTTTGGGAGGCACTTGAGTAGACTCAGGGCCTTCCAGCGCATGCGTCCGTCCCTACAGTGGGTTGCTATGTAGTAGAGGGGGTGGAGGAGGCCTTCGTCCAGGCTGACGCTGTGGATCTTGTGATGCGCGGGGTCTGAGTTCATCATGAAGTTGCAGAGGGTGAGCATCTCGTCAAAGTCATCCAGGTAGGAATCATACAAGGTGCCCTCGGCAAAGAGACATGTCCCGGCCTGGATCTTGTTCAGCTTCACTCGCGTCCTCAACATGTTCAACCCGTACTGCTCTCTGAAGGACAGCTTGATGTGAGGTTTGTGTATGAAGTCCCACAGCAACCCTTCAATGGCCTTGAACGTGCTTGAGAACTCTTGCGCCTTGGCATATGTCTCTAGCGGGACATTGCCGGGCTCCAGGGATACGTATGGATCTGCCGTCTTCCGGAGGAAATGGAAGAACCTATCGGTGTAGACTGTGACGACGTCTCGTGCTTGGGTCAGATCCTGCAGGTCTTCCGAGAGTTCTGTGTCGACGTTGGCAGTGTAGTAGGGCAGACTGGGGACCCTGGATCCCAGGTAGATCGAACTCTGGATGTCCATCCGCATCAGCGTCCTGACTAGGCTCCTTTCGACCCTGCCTTCTTCATACGGGCCTCTATCTTTTAGCAGCTTGATGGCGTTGTCAAGATGTACCATTGCAGGTATGAACTGTTCCCTGATCGACTCAAAGTGGATGCATACGACGCAGCAGATCAGGACGAGATCGAGGTCTACAGAGCCAGACTTGAGCAGCTGCTGCAGGCCTTGGAGTGCTTTACCGTACTGCTGCATAGGGTAGCTGTTGTGGGGAACCAAGTAGGTCTCGTCATGTTCCTTACGGAGGCCTGCCGTCAGTTCCTTTTCCTCGTGGAGCGCACTTAGTGCACTGACGGCATAACGGACGGTTGGCTCCCTATGGCATGCCTGGAGGAGCAAGCGGTCGATGACATGGTCGGGAAAGTACCCGGAGAGACAGGGGCCAGTGCGTTCCTTGAAGTATGAAAGCGTGCGGCGCTCGAGAGCGTCGGTAGATATATCGAGCCTGAGCTCGAACACCGGGTCGTCATGCTTGCGGCTTCCCTGATACTTTACGAGGGCGCCGTTGGTCTCCGCAGGTGCATAGCCGTCGCATTTACGTCCGGTACTGGCGCATCTGTTGCAGACAGGTTTCGCTTCGTCGCATTTCACGCGGCGTATCCTGGCTGGTCAGTATGTGCAGCTCAAGGTCCACGGTGTTGCACAAGGCGTGTGGAGGTTGCATACTTGCATGTAACGCATCTAGTGGCAGGTGTTAGCCAGGTTTGCTTAAGCGCCCGCCGTTGATCGATGGCCGACAGGCTTC